AATCATGCGCCGCTTGATCATGTTTAAGTGACCATTAGCGCATTATTGATTCATTAAATGTTCAGTATGATAGTGTATGCAACTCAACATTATTTTATTAAAAATATTAAATTTAATCGATAAATGACTGTATACGGTTTGAGAAACTATACATAGAATCAAGTGTAAGTCATATTACTATATAAAATTATCCCAATATTTTAATAAAACAACTAGATACAAAAAAAAAATTAAGATACTAAAACAGTATTACCAGTTAACTGTTACCTACTAACAAATTGTTTTTCATAGTTCAAAAACTGTTATTTCTTGACACTTGAAATTATTACCGATTGTTAAACTTGTTTTGATAATATAGACCATAAATCTAAAATAATAATTCATTATTTATCTAAATAATTAATATTTAAATGAAAAAACAGACACACACACACACACACACACACACACACACACACACACACACACACACACACACACACACACACACACAGGCACATAGGCACATGGACATTGTTTCCATGATCTCATAGTGAAGAGCAGGGTAATTGTTTCCAATATAAGGTTATTCAAAAAGTTCATTGTTACAACATAGAAATATAACAATAATTCGAATTAACCACACAACGTTTAGGTGCCCTAATGATGTACAACATTTTAAAACAATTTTCGAATAATATTAAAATACCTACTGTAGTTCTACAAGATTTTTTTATTTTATTTCTCAATATACTTTTATGATATTTATGTACATAGTGGAGTCATTCCTATACATTTAATAACTTGTTTATACCAGGGATTGAGTAAACTGTAATTGGGCATTCGGTTTGGTAATTATTTTTTTATTATATTTTTGCACAAACAAATATAAGTTTGAATTACCTCTCGTAGTACGTTACCAAATTCCCTTGTCGTTATTGGATTTAAATTGCATTTTATTGTACACAATTTCTCCAGTTTCAATTGTATTGTCAGTTTAATACTATAAGATCCAAGGAAAACTGTTAGTAAACTTGTGTTCGATGCATTCGTTAATAAGTTAAAATTAATTAAAAGTTGTTTTTTTATAAAGTTCAAGATTATTTGGTTCACAACTATTCTCTTCTAAGGAATTTATTCTATTTGTATAGTCTATACTATATACATTATACATAAACACTATAGGTACCTACTAATATCTACTATACGTCTATACCTAATAATTAATATAGTGTATACAAATACAGTAATGTAGGTACTAATGTATTTTTTTTATTGGGGAAATATACAATATATATTCACCTAACCTTTTCGCAGATATCCTTAACTTAAAATATAAATACATACAATAGTTTAACTAGACTATAAAATGTAAAATAAACTAAAACAAATAGGATATAGTTATATAGGTATAGATGATTAAATAAAATATAAAATAATTGTATAAGAATAAGATAATAATAATAATAATAATAATAATAATAATAGTAATAATAATGTTCTTTTCAATTTTTCAATAAATAGTAGGTACGTCCTATAATAGACATTATATTTACTCAAGCAAAGCAATTTAATAAAACAATATTAATTGGATTTTTAGATGGTTTTCTTGATTTTTAATTTATGCAGATTAAAAAAAAAATCGTATTATTAAATTATATTATAAATAGTTGAGATTTTTGCGAAATAAATAAAATTATTAATTATTAAATATTGATTTCTCTCATTCCAATTCATGTGTAGTGTGTACCCACCAATTTTTAATGTTTCATTTAATAAACTTTTATTTATTAAATATATAGAAATATAAGACATGTTTATAACTAATTTAATATAATACAAGTACATAATACATTTTATAAAAATTATTGTTTAACCACGTGTCTAAGTTAATTAATTTAACGCAATTATTAGTATAGGTACATAATTAAAATTTATTCAAGAATTACTTAAATTATAGGGGAAAAGATAGACCCCTGTCTGTCATCAAGGCAGAACAAATTGGCTTCGACTTTTATATGATTAAAATTATAAGAAAAGTGAAAACTCAATACCATAAACCAAACAAGAAGTTATTATTTTGTACCTTAGACCCCATTCAGTTGACAGGACGTATAACTAATAACTGTAGATTGCGCTCGACATTTAATATGCAAATTACTAGGTAATAAAATACAAACTGATAAAAATCTATTATAAACTGTTTCACATGTCATAACGATAATTTGTTTACTTATATAGTGCACTATGGAAGAAATAATGTATATTTTTAAACATAATTAAAGAAAAGACACTCAATTATCTAATGGCTAATATGATGTTATAATAAAGAAAGTACATACAGTGCTACAGTGTAATGTAGAAGCTTGAATACGGTTCTTACAAAAGTCAAGTAATATCAAAAGAAAAACACTCATACTCATTATTTTAATGAAGATTAATTTTAATTAGATTATATTTATAATGGGGAGAAATAGTGGTTGAGGAAGACAAATAATAAGACATACTTGCAGATACCTGCAGAGGATGAAAACTATGATGAAGAAATATATTGATATAAAAATTTAATAAATTAGATACAATTTTGATAAATCATTAACTTGGATGATTTTGAATACAAGATTCCTCGAAAATGTATAGGTAGTTATTGAAAACTAAAAAAAAATGTATAGCAATAAATTAGTTATTTAAACACAAAGAAGAACGATTTCAGTTATTTTGTTGTAATTAAAAATTATTATTTATGGGGACTTCAACATTTTATGTTTTTTATTACGTTTAACTATACGTCTATACACAATGGTGTCTTAAAAATATTTTGATTAATTTTAATGTATTGCCTACTTATATACGCACCTACAAATATATTTGCCCCGTTTAGGCGTCATGTGTATGAATGAATATGTACGAATGAAAAGAGTTTGAATTTTATATGTATTAGAAAGTTTAAATGTTCGAATATTATTCTTTTTGTGGAATCAACAAAATTTAATTTTTCGGTATAAAAATGTATTATTATTATTATTTATAATATAACTATACAATTAAATGTGATATTATAATAATAAACTTCACAATCGGTCAATCGGTATAATAATGTGTTATTATTATTTATAATTTAATTATACAATTAAATATGTAAAACAAATGTTTTAAACAGATAAATTAAAAGCAATTCCCTTAAAAATTCTAAAATATTAAAATCGCATTGTTTTTAGAGCTTAGAACAAGATTTTTAGTACGCGAGAATAAAAGTTTACCTATCAACAAAAAATTAGGTGCATAATATTATATCTGTGGCTATGAACGATATTCGTATTCTCGTAATTATATTCAGATAGGAAAATATAACATTCGTACATAATACTATTCGAACACTAGTATATTCGAACAGATTTATTCGAACACTTACATTCGTACATAATACTATTCGAACACAAGTCCATTCGAACCAGGGACGCAGGGTACAACTGCCCCAGGCGCCAGTATTTTGAGGGTGCCAACATTTTGTGGTCAGAAATTTGTATACTTGTGAATTAATAAAATTGTATAGTTTTAAATATTTTAATAACAGTATTATATAATATAATTTAATATAATAGTATTATACTGTTTGAAATTTATTATTTAAACAATCATTGCATTTATAACAATATATCTATAGCTAATTTGCTAATTTCGATAATTATTATTTATTAATATAGGTACCTAATAACAGTTCCCAAATATGTTGTGATTATGTCGATAGACATCAGTTATTTATAATAATACAGGAAATACGGAATTCCTATCTATATTCTGGTTTCGAAAGTTTCATCAGTGGGTGGCTTCTTCAGACAAGTTTTTTCTTCCTTTTGTATTATAGTCCATATTCTTATTGTGCCTTATTGTGTACCGATTGTGTATTTTATTAATAAAAAAAATATATATATTTATTCTGGTTTAAAATATTACACTAATTTAACCTTACGAGCAAGATATTACAATTTGTTAATATCGATTTGGGTGTAGTGTGTGAATTGTATAAATCACTAGCTGACCCAGACAACGTTGTTTTAAATTATCGCCATGTAAATTATTTCTAATGAATATTTTGGAAGTCAAATAAAAAATTACTAAATCATTGTAATTGTGTGTTGATATGTTATACTGATATATGACTGAAAGTGAAGTAAACAATAACAAAACACCAAATATTAATTTTTTTGAATTCAGTGTACTTGTATGATCTTCACTAATAAATTTCAAATTACATCTCTATCGCACATTATGACAATTAAAAAAACCCTATCAGTCTCTTAGTCTTAGTGCAATGGAATTTACGATATTTTTAGTGAGTCCATCTTTACTCAACACAAATAAACTGGATGGTTTATCCACACGAGAACATGCCAAGTATAATTGTCCGTGTGAAAAACACGCTATGCCCAAATTTTAAGCCACAAACAGTTATAGTTTGGCCTTGAGACTTATTGATTGTCATTGAATAAGTGCTCATTCAAAAAAGCGGCCAGAATCCAGATCACCGACTATACGTCTGGCGAAAGGCGAATTAAGGTCATTCACCAACCATAAAGTAAATTTGTAAAAATGTATGTGGTTCGTTTGACATTGGTAGAAATGAGCCCACTTTGTGTTAACCTTGGCCTTTGATTGTTAATATTGAATTAAATTGTTGACCATTTGCAGCATTATTTTTTAACTATTTCTGTTATGAATGATAAAGTGCTAGCTTCGATAGGAAAAGGGGCAACAAACAAAATTCGAAATGATGAAAATACTATCGCACTGTTAAAATAGTATGACAGTAAATCCGTTCACATGGCATCAAATTTTATTGCATCTGGAAATGTAGACAATTTTGAACGGTGGGATAAGAAAAGCAAAAAATATATGATACAGTTGAACGTCCAGAAGTAATACAACTTTATAATAAGAGCATTGGTGGTGGGGATAAAAATAGATCAATTGATAGCCTACTACAGAATTTTTTTTAAAATTGAAAAAATTTGACGTTACGTATGGTTTTTCATTCAATTGACATGGCGATCTGCAATCCGTGGTTGGAGTATTTACAAGATTGTAATTTATTGGGTATTGAAAAGAAAAAGCAAATGGATTTACTACATTTTAAAATGAGGCTTGCAGACAATCTTATAAATTTGGGAAGATCCGACAATATAAAGCGACCTCGAGGACGACCAACTAGCGCTTCACGCCATCGCCTTCACCTCCTTCAAAAAAGAAAACGGCAAAGGAATCAAAGCCGTATCAAAAAACCCGTTATGATAACATAGGACATTTGCCAACTTCAGGAGAAAAACAGAGGTGCAAAATGAAGAACTGTAACGGTAAAACGCATGTAATGTGCGACAAATTTAATATACATATTTGTTCTGTCGGTAACTCTAAAAATTGTTTTGCTGAATTTCATAGAAAAAAAAATTATAGTTTTGTTGTACATTATATTATTATGTTTCTATAACTTTATTATACAAAAAGGATATTTCTAAAAATGAATTTTTATTATACTGACTACAAGTGTAAAAAAATAATAGTTTTGTTGTACATTATATATTTCTATAACTTCATTATACAAAAAGGATATTAATTGTAAATATGAATTTTAATTATAATGACTACCAGTGTACCTTGCAAGCGGTACAGTCATATAACTTTTTACCAAATTATCCTATCCTCACAAAACTTGGTACTCGCTATCTAAGAAGTGTATTATTAGTGTGTTATAGTATTAGTGCAAACATTTTTTTTTTTTTTTAACTAAAACATAATGTGGTAGTGAAAGGGTTAACAAATAATTGATTACTTCTTCAATTAATTGTTTACTTCAACAATTAATTGAATACCTACTTCAACAATTAATTAATGAAGTTATTTCTTTTTCAAATCAATTGAAATTCTTAAGAATGCTGAAATACTTCAAAATGAATATATAAAGATGACCTCAGCACTTTATTTGCTAATAATGTGTTCATTTTAGGAGTCACTTATTATGTATCGGTGATAAGACTACTAAAACCTGTTCAGGAAAAGTGAAGTTTTCTGAGAAAAAATAGGTGTGTATCAAAGGTTAGCACCTGTAAGTAATTGTTCGACTGAAAGGTCTTTCTCATGTTTAAAACGTATTAAAACATATCTGAGGTCTAGTATCTCTGAAGAAAGGCTAAATAATTTAGCTATCATGAACATGGAATCTGATATCTATAACAACTAACATTCAGCACCGAGGCGCAAAATGTCTAATGCGGCACTGATTCGAACAGATTTATTCGATTTCATTCGAAAACAATTCATTCGAACACTCGATTAGTTCCTCACGTTTTACGGTGAGTCATTATTGACTCAAAATGTTTGACAACAATATAATATGATAATTTGATATTTTAAATTACAACAAAATAACATACGGTTGCTAGCATATTGTTATCAAATTTTGAGTAGGTATTCGTTTTTTAATTACGACTGAATAAGAAAATCAATTTTGTCGAAATCTGGTCTCACGTAAAATTGTTTGTTTTTCCCATTTATTTAGAAAAGTACTGGATATTATTTATTTTTATTTACTTTTGATACTTTTGTTCAAACTAGATTCACTTTCCTATCAAAAAATATATCAATGTTTTCAAAATTGAAGTATTTTTTCTATATTATAAAAAGTATAGGTCTACAAAATCAAAAAAAAAAAAAATTGAAAAATCTAATAATAATTACGTAATCATTTATCGCTCCACTCAGAATCTAAAACTACATTATACTAAACAAATAATCAAATTAATAAATCAATTATTTTTTATCTTATAACAACCATTATTTCAGTATAATACATATCTTCCTATGAATGTTAGCGTTCAATCACACAATATAATATTAATTATTATCAACATGGTTGTATTGATGTGTTCATTTTTTCGAAAATTTCATTCAGTCTCCTAAAAACCGTGTATTTCAGTAGAAATTACGTGTTAAAAATTGATTAGATGATTTTGTGTTGAACTCAAATATCAATAAACGTAATATTATTAACTACCTATTTAATAATAATATGCTGCGTAGGCATTAAAACCGTACACGCACATCGTTCCGATACTCAGACACTGTATAGTATCTGTTCATCTTCACACTAGTTGTTCGATTGCGTGTCTATAATAATAATCGCTGTGAGTGGGTGGGTACACTGCAGATATATTTATGGGTGACAAGGTCCTACCATTGCGTATAATTAACAAAAGCACGTCGTGCGGCAAAGCATTAACCACTCCACACAACACAGTCAAGTGCACAAACGGTCTACCAAATGCGCCAAAAATAACACGTCAGACTTCAAAGTATTTCCGCACGATTGCCTTTATTTTTAATAAAAATTCGAACGAAATACTTCATTAAAAAATACATGTGTTCTGCATCGAAACAAAAGATCTCCTGTACCCACATGCGGTCATTTCCTCCTCAGTATTTAAGTAAATAAATCCATGTTGAGATTTTGCTATACTTTTGATGTCTATTCTGGTATAAATCCAATTACTAGCATATTCGCGAGTACTAAAATTGATTTTGGTTTTTTTTTTTTAGTCTTACTTAGATACGAACTCAATAGCTGTCCTCTTACTTCATTCTGAAATAAATCAGCAGTACAAATCAATGTTGTTTGTTCGTTTTAACTTTTCAATTCACTTAAATTTGGAATTTAATCTATTTATATCTACTTGTATCTAAATCTAAAAGAATGTGGTATTTAATAAAAAAACACAATGGAGTAAATAGTAATATGATTTAAAAAACTAAACAATTTCAAATGTTTAAGTAAATATACTTAACACTAAATTTCAATTCGTTTATGAAAATAAATGTTGTAATGAAATCAATTATTCTTATATTTAAAAATAAACAGATTTATTACATTAACGATTAACAGTTAACAAAACCTTTCGTTTTTTTATCTAATCGGTTTAGTATGGAAAACTTAAGGGTTAAGTCTCATCATGTCCTTAACTATATCTACATCTATAGGTGTATAGTCCATGTAATAATATAATGTTAATATTATGTTAATTAATGTGATTGAGTTTCATAAATGTGTAGATATACAATCGTTTTGAAATTTGATATAAATATATATTATATTCATAACGACTATTAGATTTTAAAAGATGATACATAAAACATACTAAAAGGCTAAAACTCTATATAATTACCATGTAATACATTTTTACAAAAGTACTAATTAGGTACCTAAATTAGTTGAATTAACACTAGGTATCTAATTTTTGTTTAAACTTAATTTTTAGTTTAGAACAAATAATGAAAGTAAAATTATAAATATTTATAATCATCCAATTATTATTCAGAATTAATTTTAAATAATCGTAAATCCTAAGTAAATGGTCAAAAAATTAATAAAATCTTTCGATGTAAATTAAGGTTATCACCAATTGTTTTAAACTGAGTACAGTTTTCTAAAAAGGGTTTAAGCCTTGACGATAAATTAATCTTAGACTTAAAATACGTGTATATCTACTATTTAATAAATGTACGTTCGTTACCATATATCTTGTTTTGTTTACCGTGGGTAGGAAATATTATTACGAATATTTACGAAAGCTAAAAACATTAAAAAAAAAAAACCGTATGTTGAAATATGTATTGAATCAAGGGAAATAAAAATAAGCTAGTAGTATCCTTATTCGAATAAAATTATATTGAAATACCATAGTATAATAAAATGCAATGCTCTTATTATTCTGTAATAACCAAATTAATTGAAAGTAAATTGAGATCCTCATAGAATATTATTCAGGATATTTCCATCAAATTTAATATATTGGATTTTCTTTATATTATATTATAAATAAAACGATATTATAATTTTAAATTCTCAATTCTGAGGAAAAAAAATATTTAAAAACTGAATCCCATTAAAATCATCCATTATAATATTGCTCGGTCTACACCTTGTGTATGGTTTTGATGTATTTTTAAAGTAAATACTTGGAACTTGGGTTAATTTATACATTATACGCTGTATGTTCAATGTTTTGTAAGTATTCAGAATATAATATTATTTCCTTACACTTCGAAAATATTTCAGTATATAATATATTACATGTAAAAAGAAACTGTTTCTTTAAAGCAATTACCAAAAATCAAAAGGGACTTCAAAATAAATAAATACATATTTTGTTATGTATTTCAAACAAATATTGAATTCTTTAATTTTATTATTTTCGTTATAAATACTGGGTTATAAATGAAATGTTGAGCAAATTATTCACAGATCAGTTGGCTAAGTGATGACACCCTTAATGATGATCAATATTAGGTATAAAATATGTATAGTATATTGTTTTTAGTTATCTACCAATAGTCTATATAAATTAACCGCTGATATATAAATATAAGTTATAGTTTATTCTGTTATACTTGTAAATTAATAACTAATAAGTATATTAAGTATAATATATTTTTTATAAGTTAATAATGATTCTAATAAGCAGATCTGCACTTAATATACTGATTTTTTAACAAATTCGAATTCCTAAAATGATATACAATTTTGTGTTGGTAGGTATCCAAGAGTCCCAAAGTCACTTTAAAAGTATAGAAGTTAAAAGAGTAATTAATGTGGTTCATAATATTTACAAAAATATTCAATATTCATTAATATAAATAGGTACCCAATGATCGTCAGTAGGTACCTATAAAGTATATACAATGTATTTAAGCACCGTAAAGTAACATAATATTAATTATTTGCAAAGTATCGTTGAGCATTGTATTCTTGAATCAGTTGTTTACAGCTAGGTTAGATTATATTTATAAATTATTTACGGCGTACGGTTTACAATAATACATACATATTGGCTATTGATAGTATTATTCTGATACTATTATTCAAAAGTTATAAGGTAAATGGTAATAAAGGTAATAAAGTTATAAAGCCATAAACGTATTGATTAGTTTAACGATATCGATATTAGCGGTTCACTGATTCACAATAAATTAGGTATATTGTTTTTGTTATGCAAAACAATCGTTTATTTTTGGCTAGTAAATATTACATTGTATATACAGATTAAAGTAAATGGTAGTTAAAAAGTAGGTACCTACCTACTTGAAAATAGAGTAGCTTACTATTACATTTGGTTTATGATTTTATTTTTATTATTTGATGATACCCATTTCGTTGTGTTAATACTTAATACTTAAAAGATTATAGTCATAATATTTTTTTTAAACATACACTCAAACATTAAAAGAGTTAAACACCCACATTTTTCAG